AATAATAATAATAATAATAATAATAATAATAATAATAATGATAACGGTAATAAAAATCACAGGGATCACAATAACAATAAATTTAGTAATAGGAGGTAAAATTAATAAAGAAAAACAGTGTTAATAATGGCAGATACAGTGGTAGCGAAAACAATAGTAGTAGCAACGGCTTACAACTGATGCTTGTTATGGAAGAGCATAGAAGCACTGCTAGAAATTGAAAACGACAAAATATGGAGACGGCAAAGAGGATGGGTACAACTTGTAATAACTTCTAAAGAATCTGCGAGGAAAAGCAGAGGAACGAGCGTCAGGATTACTGGTACTGTAGAAAGTTTGTTAGCTGCTTTAATGGTTTCCTGAAGATACGTTACGATAAAGTGACGCAACTAATCAAAGCAGCCGCACTTCTGCATGAATTCAAAGCAGCTACCATCCTTCTTCCCACTTCCTGCCTTCCAGGAAGGGAGCACCTTTTCTTCTTGTAAATCTCAAGCTCCGGAAAAATTTAGTGAGTCCATAACAATTCTTTTATCCTGTATTTGTTATAGCTGTTACTGTATATGCGCTTTGGAAACATCTCAGAAATATCAAAGACGTTTGATTCACATACATATTATCCGGGTATTTTTAGACCCCAGTAAAATAATATTCATTGGATCTCCATTCCAATTATCCGCGTGTTTTTAGCAAACCTGGTTTTTCTCATATTACAACAGGATGAGTAGTTTTGAGCGTGATTTTTGATTTTCAATATTTCAGAAACCAGGCAGGAAGCACTGTACTACCAGGATTCGAATCTCGAAGAAATTCCCATTGTTTCGCTGATACGTGACTTACCAATGATCGAAGATGGTGCTGTTGAGTATCCGTCCGCAACTGTGCAGCCTCATACATCATCCAGAATTGAAACACAAAGTTTGTTTTAGCGTTTTGAATTTTCAGCTCCCTTTTGTCTCAGAATTCATATCATGCTCTGTGATCATTTTATAAGTTTTAGAACAGTTTGCTTTATTTTGACAAATCTTTTTTTGAATTTCATACTTTGCAGCCACCGTTCGGTACCTTTGGAGACTTCGATTTGATTAAGTTCTTGTGCACAATCTTTTATGAGTACTGGCTTTTTGATACCTTATATTTTTACAATTTTTTTATTTTTCCTTATTGATATTCCACTTCGCTTCACACATTTTTCACTTTCGTGCGTTTATATAGTTGCGTTTGGCTTGCCGAAGCATTCTTACGACTTTGTTAACATAGGATGCCTACAGCGTTACTGGAGCAGTCTAGATATTCTTGCTTTTGTATGGTTATTTTGTATGGTTTTATTTTTCATATTTTCATTTTGAGAATTTTTATTTTTTATGCGTTTTTTGCAGCTATGCAATGCAAAAAACGCATATTGACGAGAGGTTGTCTGTGTGTTCGTGTGTCTGTGTGCCTGTGTGTGCGTCTGTCACGCACTTTCATCTCCGGACCTATAAAAGCTGCGATGTGTCTGTGTGTGCGCTGGGCCTCTGTATCGGTTTTTCATCTCGAGACCGGCAAAAGCTACGGAGCTGAAACTTTGGGGACTTGTGCGTGTGTGTGTGCGCTGCGCGTCTGTACCGATTTTTATGCGTTTTGTGCTGTGTAACAGCCGCGTTTTTTGCAGCTATGCAATGCAGAAAACGCATATTGACGAGAGGTTGTCTGTGTGTGTGTGTGTGCGTCGTGTGTGTCTGTGTGTCTGTGTGTTCGTCTGTACCGATTTTTCATCTCGAGACCGCCAAAAGCTACGGGGCTGAAACACGGGGGGTATAATCTACATGCACGTACGGGCCCCTGTCCCCAAAATTGGCGCCAAAACCCGCGTGGTTCCCGCGTACGGACCCCCCAAAGTTTTTTTGGGGT